GTTCTTGATAAAAATTGTAAAGCTCATCCCATTGAATATGTCCGATTCTTTGAAGTGGATGTGATAGCGATACATTAAAAGTCTAAAAGATGACAAGAAAATTTTACGATTAAACATATGAATGTGAACATGAAGGGAAAAAATTATAATAATCATCATTGTGATAATTATAAAAGAAAGAATATTATGAGTTCTCAAAATGACCTTTTAAAGAGTGAAGGTAATTTTTATCATCAAAGTTGGTATGAAAGGTATATTGGGCACGCGATTACTATACGTGCAAACTAATTTAATTTAATAAATCCTCCATCAAAATAAAGGAACATAAAGTGAAGGTGCACTTGACCTTTCAAAGGTGATGTCGAGGTATGTCATATGAATATGATAAATTTCAAAGCATGACAATGAACTTCTAATGAAAAGAATAATTATGAAGCATGTATATATGATTATAGTCAATTTCTGGAAGAGAATGTGACTTGTGATAAGTATCATGAAAAGTGGACAATTCTTGAAAATGAATATGTCAAGAGATGATGAAAATTATAAATAAGGACATACTAATGTATGATTTAAAAAATACCACAACTCACCCCTATGGGAGGTTAGAGAGAAATAAAGAAAATTTATTTTGGTGTAAAAGATCATTGGTCAAGTACTTTTAGTACATCACAAATATTATAGTATATTTTATTATAAACTACCGAAAGGGCAAAAGAATGAAATAATTTTTTGTCACAAAAATTTGTCATTGGTTATGTATCTCTGTACGTCAAAAATATTTTGTCAGATATTAAATAAATAAAAAAGAGATACTAATGACAAAAGTAAATCAAGAAACAAGTTTTGCTTGTAATGATTTTGACCATGACAATAATGATATAAATTTATCCTTGAAAGATATGTTTACCACACAAACAATGTTATGAAATATGTGATAGTATCTAATATTAATGGTGAGCTTTGGTGAGCTACTATGCTACTACCTAAAGAAATAAAATTGTTCATGATATTGAAATTGTAGTAAGTCTCGAAAGAAACTTTTTATGTTTCAAAGAAATAGTCAAAAAAAAAATTATATTGAAACTATAAAATATGGAAAGATTTAAGATCATATAATCAAAGTGGGTTATAAATATTTATGTGAAAGATTACTCATGTTTTCATGTTGTTTGTGGTAACGAAATATGGGCATGACAAAGGAATCACATGCAAAATAAACTAAAAGTTCATTGAAATAAATATTAGTTGGTATGCCCGGTTGACGACCATCCCAATTCATATATAATACGAAAATAAATGAGAATTCATGTGGTCATATATTGAAGAAATAATAAATTCTTCAAGAATTCTCTTGTGTTGTTTGTTCTCATGATAAAATTATCATTGTGCCAGGTAAGGTTGAGATTGTATCTCTTGAAATTTTAAAATATATAAAAAGGTAAATATGGGCCCGTTCACCCGTCACGTGGACCATTTATTATTAAATAATTTTAATAGATACATCTATGTTATGGTCACATGTGCTTTATTATCAACTTGCAATTTGATTTTTGCAAAGGTTATTTGCTCGAATTGTTAAATCAAGAGCACATTTCTAATTATAAAATTATAGTGATGATGTTGGTTTATATACAAGTGGTTTAAGCAGAAAGTATATGCTTCCAATTATAGCTAAATCATTGGTTATGAGAACAAAATTTTCAAAAAAAATTTGGTATGAGATGTGTTATTTAAAGTGTAGCAATACTTATACGTATCAAGCCAACAAAGTTCCCCTATCACAATTGATTCAGGGCCAGGAACCAAATAATTCTCATCTAGAAATTTAAATGTGTGGTATGTTATTTCATTGCTTCACCATTACACAATACACAAAGATGAGTCTCCAAATAAGGTTGGGTAATTCTCTAACATTAGGAGGAGATAAGCAACTGGAAAATAAGTTATACATAATGAATTATCTTGGTATGATCCTCATTGAAAAAATAATTTAAGTCAATTGCCAGACGCACTCGCTGACCCTATGTTATAATCCAGTTATAAATGCTCCAATGAAAAGTCCTTGAAGGGCGTAATTTATGGCACGCCTGAAGCGTGATAGATTAATAAATTCGAAAGATAAAATTTCTTGAAAAAGAAAAGGAGCAAATGATCAAGATGGTCATACTAATGAGGCAAGTGCTTTAGAAAGAGCACCATGACATAACACTTCATAAAAATCTTGGCAAAGGTTTAGGTACCTGAAAATGATGAAAAATAAAGAGAGCTCGACAAGTTTTGTCATATTAGAATCAATATCAAATAAATTGTCAACGATATATTTAATATAATTTAACGCTCACAATTATAAATGGTGATAAGGATCTTGATATTACATCTGTCGAAAGTTGATAGATAAATGATTGGCCAAAGAAAATACAATTCAAGTATATTTTATTTCACTTGAAAAGTGATGTTCTGGACTTATTTTGTCCATATACCAAGATATAATGTCAGTGGGGTACAAATGAATTATTGTGCGATAAGTAAAACTGTAAAATATAAAGTACGAGTTGTGCATTAGAAAAATAAATATTTTTCGCAAAAGTCCTGACATTATTGTATGTAGATGTATTCTCCTAGGGTGGATGCAATGAACTTTCTATCAATCTGACAATATATGAAAAACTTGAACAATTCTTATGCCTAGCTAAGCGGTAAATAATACATAAAAATTTCGGAAAAATTTAAAAGGTTTTAAATCTATTCCATTGAATAGTACCCCAATGGTTGTGAAATTGCTTAACATAAAGAACAATTTTGATCTCAATAAAATATCTAGAAAATATCATGTTATAGTGTTGTTGGTGCACTTATGTGTCATGCTATTATTATTATTCATGGTATAATAATTTTGTCAATGTGCATGCAAAATATAACATCATTCTTATTAAGTAGAGATATTAGAGTGAATCAAATATTGACACAATTATTTATTCTTATAAATCGTGTCAAGGTTTATTGATTATGAAATTGAAGGAAATTATTTGATTTATATGAAGTTTGATCTCAAGAAAGTTATTTGTTTTCATGTGGAAATACTGTCATATCAAATCATTTCACAAGACAGTCAACTTTATTGAAAGTGTCCGTCAATACTTGGTTGTTGCTACTAACAAGTCAAACGAGCAATTTGTCTACGGCGACAAGATCACGAACCGAGTGATTGTCAAGAATGTATTTGATCAAGATCAATAACTCAACACATTATGTGACCTTTCTTTGAAAAGAGATATTCCAACAACATTATATGAAGGCATTGATGCATGTATAACTCAACAAAGAGGACACATCAAAGAAGATTGAACAAAATATATTTTATCAAAGTTCTTCTTCTTATTCATGATCTTCAAAAGAAGGATATAGCTATGTTTAACACTTTGTATTCACCAAGGCATTATCAACTTCAACATTTGAGAAGCCGAGATATAAGATTGGAATGCGTCATCCTCAAGTTGTTAAGTGATGTTTTAATCAGGGGGGTATAATACGCGCTGCACTTTTTCCCTAGCCGAGGTTTTTTCCCATTGAATTTTTCTGGTAAGGTTTTTAATGAGGCAATTACCAATGCGTATTACAACTTACAAGATGTGTGTACTCTTTTTCCTTCACTAGGATTTTTTCCATTGATTTTTTCTAATAAGGTTTTAACGAGGCATATTATAGATCAAGACATGAACATCCAAAGAAAAAATTACGAATAATTATGTATACTTGAACTTTTACTAAATTTGTGCGCTTACATGGACATTCAAAGGGAAGTGTTATAAATAATTTATTTGTGAATGTCAAGTGATAACATCACCTTGCTACTATAGCAATATGTATTTGTGAATGTTATGTGATAACATCACTTTGCTAGTAGTCATATTGCCTATAAAAGGACATTGAAATGTTAATGAAAAGATCCACCCAAAAATAGTTATTTCTCTTATTTCTACTTTCTAATTTCCTTTGTTCTCTTCATATGATTTAAATATTCTTTCTTTATTTTGTAACACATTCCAATTTGTTTCTCTTTTTTCTCTTTCATACATTTGCTTTGCTCTTAAAATAGAGAAAGAATTGAATGCAGAATATCACATTATTATTTTTTCTTTGGACCCACAAATTTGATACCACGAGAAAACAGAAAAACATTTTCACCTGCTGCTTCATCCACAGCCTAGCACACCACAATTTCATAAGGTCCATTAACATAGCAACCAACATTAAGTAGGGATGGCAATGGGGCGGGCAGATGCAGGGTGAGGCGGGTTTAAGATTGTGTGGAGCGGGTTGAAGTGAGTTTTTTTTAAATTAATGCTTGTGAGGCAGATTGTGGGTTTAAATTTATTTTTAATTTTTTGCATATTATAAGAGTGATAGAGCATTATTTATTAAGATAATTTCTTTAGAGCTACTAAAATATTCAAGATAGTAAATGAAAATGAGTCAATAAAAAATAATTCAATTTCTTACATGTTTCCCAATAGACGTCTAAAAATAAAATTTTAAGTCACTATCATATTAAATTAATTCAACTTAATGAAAAAATGAATTTATTTTTATGAATCAAACTTAGAAAAAGAAGATATTAAATTTTTTTATGCAGAACGTGTTCATGCAGAGCGGGTTTATACGGGGCGAGGTGGGGCAGGTTGGGAATGAAAAAAAATGTTATGCAGGGCAAGGCGAGGAGGATTAAACTTTTTGCAGGTTAAATTCAACCCACCCCACCCCTGCACCGCCCCATTGCCATCCCTAACATTAAGCCTAAACATGTAGAAGAGCTTCAATAATTCAGCTGCAAGAACCTTATTTTGGCATCAAAGTTGACCTCATGCAAATAAGATCAAATAACTGAGATAAAGTTTTTTTGTAAGCTACAAATCCAGTGTAAACATTGAGTAAGTTTTTCTAAAAGCTAAGACTGATTCCACAAATCCAGTGTAGTTTTCCCGCATCAGAGATCCAGCACAGACAACTAACAACGCGCCATGAAAGTAAGACTTGTCTGCTTAAGACAACTATGCCTTTACTGTCTAAAGCTCATTGGTTGTGGTTCTTGGAAGCGGAGTTCTGCACAAAGATAAAGTGTGTCATGAACTGGTCATCAAACAACATGGAGCTACATAGACTCTAGAAATCATGTGTCTGAAACTTACATCTAGTTGGCATCCAACTTATTTAACTTAGCAAACATGTTCCCATAGAATTTTGCATCCTTCTTATTGAATTCCTTAACTTTCTCCTTCAGAGCTTTGTATTCAAGCTTCACATCCCTTCATTTCATAAAAAAATACAACTTATAATAACACAAAAGAGATGCAGTAAATTTGGACAGCCAGTATAGAAGAAATAACACAATACCTGTTGTTAGGATCAATCTCAAGGGCTTTCTTAATGTCAAATTCAGCTAGATCAAGATCTGCCATGTTCATATATGCTTGAGCTCTCCGGTAAAGAGCTTTAACATTAGTACTCTCAGTTTCCAACACCTAAAGTGCACAGAATCAGTAAAGATATAAATAGATCAATGAAAATAAGAAGGCCAGAAGGTGTGTTCTGATCTAGTGGAACCTTGGTACACAGCTTCTCCGCCTGCTTGTAATCTTTCAGTTTCAACTTGCAAGCTGCATTATTTAAGTTGCAGCTGATCTTCAAAGCTTTAGCTTGTTTCTTTTCCTCTTCACTAAAGTCAGTATCACCTTCAATAAATTTAGCAGCCTGCATTTATTTCAATTCCTGCTGTCAGGAAAAACTGGATCAAAGACCACAGCAATTAATTACTCACTAACACAGGAGCACCATATCTTGGAGACTACACACCTTCTCATATCTAGTTGATGCTCTTGCATATTTACCAGCCTTGAAGAGAGCATTTCCTTCCTCTTTCTTTTTGCCAGCAGCCTCAATTTTCTCCTGGGTATTCATATCCCATGATTCCTTTTCCTGCAGGCCAAATTAAAGACATGAGACTACACTTTGGCACAGGGAAGAGTTCGAAGTATAAGGAAAAACTACATCACATACCTTGACAAAGGAAACCAGCTCAACCTCATAATATACAGTTGAGTTGGGAGGAACAACGCCTAAGTCTTGCTTTGATTCAGATGGACCAAAGGCATAATCAGGTGCAATTATTAGCAGTGCCACTTCACCCTTCTTCATTGACATGACAGCTCTATCCAACCCATCTATAACTTGCTCTGTTCAAGGAAGATCAACAGTGAACAACCAGAAAGTCAGAAAATCATGTCTTAGCTGTAACGACTATGATGTAATTCAGAAACCATACCCTCATCTGTCTTAAACTCGAAAAGCTCGTCTTCATTTTCTCCATTGTGGCCCTTCTTTATGAAGACTCTGCCATCTTGTAGCTTGCCGATCAATTTCACTACAAGATGTCGATTCAAACATTTGTCAGATATCATGCTTTTAATTCATAAATCTACAACATCCTGAGTAACTAACTTTTAACCACAGCCCCTGCATTCGGTTTCTCGAATCCTTCCCCTTCTTTTAAGATCTTCTTTATTACTTTCTTATCGTCAGTTACACTTGAGACAGTCTTCCATGTTACCAACTCCAAGCTAATTTGCAGTGTAGCATTAGGTGGGACCGCTCCTCCATCACCTGAGGCTGGTTTTCCTTTCTCCCCAAAGCCATCTGCAGCAAACAAATTAGACATGTTAGTGAAAGCACTTTACAGGAAGATACAAGAACCCTTTCTTGGAAGGACCACCTACACTGTGGCTTGACCGTCAACTGGACTTTTTCACCTTTCTTCATAGTTTTCACAGCTTTCGCAATAGCAGGGCAGAAGTGTCCTGTCGCAATAATAATGTTAGTGCATGATAGTGAATCTATAAACCTTGTGAACGAGATACTGCAATGACTCATGGATACCTTCCTGAACAGTGAACTCCACTCCATCTGATTTTCCAACCAATGATCCATCTTCAAGCTGAGCTTCATACTTGACTGAACAATAAGATCAAACCAAATGCTTATTACTGTTCGGCCAAATAAATACACACAAACCTCTGATGAAATTAAAAGGAAGACAGAAGACTACCTAGAACTTCGTCAAGATCCATGGGATTTTCCCATTTCTCTCCCTTGGTGAGGATCTTCTTGAAGATACCACCATCCTTGCAGATGTCCTTTACACTCACCCATGATAGCAATTCAACGTCAAACTGGAGAGTGGAATTTGGAGGGATAGTTGGAGGAGAACCAGACTCTCCATAAGCCAGCTCTGGAGGAATGGTGAAAATGGCATTTTCAGCCTTTTTCATTGTCTTAATACCTTGATCCCATCCCTTAATTACTTGTCCTATTAGAAAAGAACAGAAGCATCAGCAAAGCACATACCGAGATATCATTCATCCAAGATTTAATACAAAACAAAGATATATGGAACATGTCAGTTCCTAATAATGAAGAAACTTCAGTTCTTGGTTTTGATAGAGCTTATATTAATCAATAATCTCCTGTAACTAGTAAAAACGAACTCAAATCTAGAATCACTGAATAAACTGCTTATAAATCAAACTGTTAATACCCTCTTCCAGATACACACATGCACAGAAACACATATATATGTGTGTGAATATCAACTATCAATCACTCACATATAATATTGAATACACATGGTAAACATCAACATACATGCCGTAAACCTATTTCAGTTTTTCTATAACCGATAAATCCCCTAGGATCATAGTGCAGAATGTGAAGCTCAGTCAAAACACCTAACTTTTTACTACGGAAGTGTAAACCCCTGGTGTGTTCCTAAGCCACACATCAAGTGTTGCAGTCTTAACACTAGACCAAAGCCTTGGGAGCAAAACTATTTCAGATTCTCATGATCAGCTTTGCAATCATACAGTTCAAACCTTGGTATAAGGCTGCCTAATTATACACTTCCTTAGTGCAAGCTACTTCCACCCCAGAGAAGAATGAGAAAATAAACAAATTGACGGATCAGTATTTTAAGAGCCAGCACAATCATGATACTAAAATGTACACTTCAATATATATGAATTTAGTACTATAATAATCCAGTTGCCATTAGAAAAACTAATTTCAATATTCAATTATACAATAAAAACTGATATTAGACCAAATTCTCAACGTTGAGATTCAAAGAAACAAGCAGTTCTCATTACTCAGAACAGACAAATCAGGCTACCTTGATACATTACATCTCATAAATGTGACCAGCACTAACATGACGCCAGATTTCTTAATACGGGAAGCCTTCAGATTCATATTCCTTAAATCAAAAGATTGATTTTCAGAGAGCCATTCAAGCAATAGCAAACATATTAAACTGGCAAGTTAACTATTGTTGATATACTAAAACTATTAACACACTATACAAAACTCTACGAGAGAGAAAGCAGTGAATGTTAAAAAGTAGAGTTACGTTTTCTAACCTTGACCGAGAGTGAACTTGAAAGGAGTGCCCCTATCGCGACTGGAATCGAACTTGGTCCCATCAAGCAGAGTGCCAGTATAATGAACTAAGGATTAAATGAAATCATCACAAAATGAAATGATTTTAGCAAGAGAAACAGCAATGGATAGAGAGTAATTTTACCTTCTACTTCATCTCCAGCTTCAGGAGTGTCCCATCCTTCGCCTTCTTTAACAAGCTTCTTCTTCAAACCTTCTTTTCCGATCTCCTTCTCTTCGCCGACTTTCATGATCGGACTTTCGTCCGGCAGATCTATGTCATCATCCATTCCTTCTGCCCCCGGAATATCAAAATCATCATCCATTGGAGTAGTAAAATGCTGCACTCGAACAAAGCAGTGATGTGGCGTGAGAGAATGGGTAAAGAGAGTTCCAATGAGGTTTTAGAGTGAATTTTGAGGATTCTCGAATTATGACGAAACACTTGTACCTAGTGTTTCTGCCATTGATCTTAATCAAACGGCAGTCCTTTCAAATTCGATAATTAGTAGGGTCGATTGATTTGACCAACGTGGTGCAGTGTAATTATTTCATGCTTAACAAGAGATTTTAAGTTCGAGTTTTGGATATGAAAAAAAATAAGTTGAAAGCACCACACCTGAATGGACCCAGTAGTGCGTGATCCGAATTTAGTTAAGGCTCCTATGTGGCAGCTCAAGACACTGGATGAGAAAAAAAAATTAATCGAGACTCTAATATGACGGGCTCCGAACATCGGATGAAAACTAAAAAAAAATGGCATTTTCAAGTTACAAAGGGGAAATGAGAATTAATTACCATAAAATAGGAAATGCAAGTTGAAGCAATTTTACCAAATAAGCAAACATTATAAAATCACATGATATACATTCAATATTTATTGTCAAATCTTGATTCAATAAAAAACGAAAAAATTGAACATAAGTTGTGTGTTCAAGTTGTTAGTAGCTAAGAAAATTATTTTTTTAATTAGTGTCATAGTCGTTAGTCTTGTCCCACTCGATAAAATCATGGAATTTTTTTAATTAATTGATTTTAATGAAGTTGTTATAAATTTGATCTAAAATAATGAATTTGGTGAATATAAATAGTAAATTAAGAATTTATTTGAAGTAAAAATAAATTTATATTAGCAAAAATAATCGTTATATAAGATATAAACAATTTAAAAGGTTATGATATGAATTATAAATATACATATGAAGCAAAAGGCTAGTAGATATATATAAATTAAATGTGAGTTTTTTTTTTTACAAAATATAAATTGTGGGTCAATTTTTAGAGAATTTGGAATTTCAACGAGATGAAATCAACGTGAAATTGCATGTCCAAATATTGATTTCATCTTAGTAGGCGTTTGGCCATGCGATACCATATCACGATATGGTGTCGTGAGATGGAATCAGCGTTTGGACATGCGATTTTACGCTGATTCCATCTCATGATTCCATATCATGAGAGGTGATACCATATTCTCCAAAAACCATGATATGGAATCACCATGTGATTCCATATCATGATTTGGTGATTCCATATCATGGTTTGAGATATTTTAATACAATAATTGATCCATGAGTTTATATTTTGTTAAAACAACCCCACATTTATATCTACTAACCATTTGTTTCATATGTAAATAAAATTTATAATCACATCATTACTTTTTAAAATTTATTATTCTCACCAATATAAAATTTATTAGCACTTTAAATTTGGTGAATATAAATGATAAAGTAGAAATTCATTTGGTGAATATAAATGAGAACAAAGGGAGTAATACTTTTTTGATTTTTCATAATAAAAAAAACGTCTTAATCTTATGACTAAACATAATATTGATAAAAGACAATTTCCATTGGCGGTGCCGCACTTTCTTAATTTTAGTATTTGCAAAATGTTCGTTCACATGACTAAATGATATCAAGTCCAATTGATTGAGGACTTGGGAAAACTTGATCAATTAGTTATTAATATTTAGTCAAGTGGACTAGTTATAATTTTTTTGATTAAATTTTATTAGAAGTGTTTTTTACTCAAACTTGTGGTAACTTTTTAAAATTTCGTTATTCAATAATATTTAACTATTGATTTTTCTTGTACATAGTTAGAAGTTAGTGATGTTTGTTAATTTTTATCTTAGTGCATTTAACTTCTAAGTTAATATTTACTCACTAATGTATGTTTTTTTTTTTCTACTTTATAAGTTATTTGTAAGAGTAGTTGAGAGATATGAGCATATCAAGTACAATTTATGTTCAATTTTTTAAATTAAATTAAAGTTAGATGAAACAATTATTTAACTGAAGAACAAATAACTTTGTAATAATTTATTATGCGATTTTATAATTTTTGTTTATTTGATAAGATTGAATAAACAATTGGGGCTATTTTAATAGTTTTACAATTTATGAGATTTTTATGTTTATGAGAAAATATACAACACAAAAATTTCATATCGCATGTCCAAACAAACCTTCAATTTCATCTCATGATTCCATATCATGATACCATATCGCATGGCCAAACGGGCCCTTATGATTTCATGTCATGATATGAAATCACATGTTCAAAGGCCTACTAAGACACCATTTGACCATGCGATATGAAATCATGATTTGAAATCATAATATGAAATCATGAAATGAAGTTAAAGTTTTGTTTAAAATGCAATTTGAACTTTTTTATATTGTATGTTTTCTCATAAACATAAAAATTACACAAGTTGTAAAACTATTAAAATTACCCCAATTCTTTATCCAATCTTACCAAATAAACAAAAAATTATAAAATTGCATATTACACTATCACAAAGCTACTCTGAAAAAAATATAGTATTTTATTTATTAAATCTTAACTAAATTCAATAAAAAAAAATTGAACATAAGTTGTAATGTTATAGTTGTTAGCCGCTAAGAAAATTACTTTTTCAATTAATGTCATAGTGGTTGGTATTGTCCACTCAATATGATGAAAAATTATTTTTTTATTAAATGTTGATTTGAGTGAAGTAGATATAGATTTGCTAAAAATTAATGAATTTAGTAAATATAAATGGTAATTAAGAAGTGATTTGAAGTAAAAGTAAATTTTATGTTGGTAAGAATAGTCGTTATATGAGATACAAATGATTTAAAAAATAATGATATGAATTATAAATTTTATTTACATATGAAATAAATGACTAGTAGATATACATATGAGTTTTTTTTTTACAAAATATAAACTTGTGGGTCGATTTTATATTGAAATATCTCAAATAGTGAATTGAAATTCTCACATCATAATTTTTGGGAGAATTTAAGATTTCATCTCATGATATGAAATCATAAGATGAAATTAGTGTAAAATCACATGTCCAAACACTGATTTCATATTATGATATGAAATCGCATGTCCAAATGCCTACTAAATTTCATTGTTTTCCTCGTTCCATTCTTTTGATGACAATTGCAATGGTAATGGGAACCAAACATGATAGAGTATACTAATTGGGATGTTACATGCAAAATAATTATACTCCCTCCATTTCATATTAGTTGATCATCATACTAAAAATAGTTCTTCCATTTCATATTAGTTGATCATCATACTAAAAATAGTTCTTCCATATTAGTTGTCCCCCTTATTGAATCAAGAAAACATTAATTTAATTTTTCCTATATTACCCTTGCAATTAATTCTTTTTTATAGTGTTCACATTTGTATGTAAAATCCGCCAAGAAGTTTTTTCAGGGGTGAATTAGTAAATTTATCTTCTTATTTATGATTTCTTAATATATGTGTAAAAAAATGATCAATTAATATGAGATGGAGATAGTAACTTTTAAATTTAAATTTAACTATTTAGGGTCTATTTGGATGAATTTATTGTAAAGATTTCACATGATTATGAAAACATAAATAATCTAATAATAAATCCTATCAATTATTCAGGATTGTAGAACTACATAATTTTCACATAACATAAAATTATTATACTTGTCAAGAAAACATACCTGAGTCTATCATAATATCTTCTTGACTAAAGAGTGGAAGTCTTTTCTTTTCTTTTTTGGGGGGGGGGGGGGGGGGGTTAAATTTGGGGGGCCTCTACCTCCGTTATTTAACTCAAAACCTGTTAAAAAAAAAAAAAGGCCCAAAAAGGCCCTAAGATAGAGTTAAAGCACTTGTTTGGATTAGTCCAAAATAAGACAAATCCATGTCTGTAAAAGCACTTGAAAACTATGGTTTCCTATTTGCATATACTCTTATAGTATCATTGATTAATGAGTAATTTCTGAACAAAAATCTTAATGTAACCATAAAAATATACATATACACTTATAGTATTATTGACTAATGAATAATTTTTGAATAAGAAACCTTAATGATACTATAACAATCTACATATATTCTTATAGTATCATTGACTAATGAGTAATTTCTGAACAAGAAATCTTAATGATACCATAACAATATACATATACTCTTATAGTATCACTGACTAATGAGTGATTTCTAAACAAAAAAATTTAATGATACCGACACAGTATAAATATATTGATTTGGTATTAGTTAAGTAAAATTATCAGCCTCAATGATACCAATACAATATATGATACTGATTTAGTATCAGTTACGCGAAAATATCAGCCTTAATGAAGCGGGTATGGGCTGTATTTATTTATGAGAGAACATGTATTTTTTGAATTACTCTGGATTTGAGTATAAACATGTAATTATTTGAGTTTTATGACCCATTTATGTAGTTTTTCCTAAAATAAAATGCAAGAATAAAAAGGGAGTGAGTGAGTCAGGTAGATAGCGAGGGAGGCAAGAGACAAGAGAAGAGTGAGATTGAAATAGAGAGAAGAGAAATGCTAGAAAAAGTGAAATGTAGCTAACTAGCTATACCATGTAATATTTTTTACGGAAAATGGTCAAACATACCTCTGAACTATTGGAAATGGATCACAAATACCCTCCGTTTGATTTTGAGGTTAAAAATACCTTTACCATTAGTGTATTGACTCACTTCTACCCCTCAAAACTAATAGATACCATGTCACCTTAAAAATCACATAAAACAATCTATTTTTTTTTGCTGACTTGAAAATTCAAATTGACAAAAAAAAGTCTAAAAATATTTTTTTTCTTTTGACTCATCTTCACGACTAGTGATGGATAGAGGCATCTAGTGGGGAGGATACCAGGCTAACATCAGGAAGCATTGAGCCTCCAAACATTTCTTGAAGCTACATGATCTGTTGACATTTCTTAATTTGTTGATGATGTTTTTCTAATAGTATATATCTTCAACTTGGCCTATTTCATTGTTCGTTGAGTTTAATTTTTGAATTTTTGGATGAGAGAAGCACAGTAAATGTCTAATGGAAAAACATTCTCTTGTCCTCAAAATCCA